TAAATCTATAGATTTACACAATAAATCTTTCTAATACTACAAGTAGTTCTAAAGAAATCAAATTACCAGCTGAAATCCCCTGTACACACAATCTAAGTAAATGTCAATAAATCTAAAGAAAAGCGCAAGGAATGTTCCTATCTGTAGAATTATTAACTCTAAAATAATCTAACTCTGAGGATTAGTATTCAGTATTAGTGTTTTTAATGGGATATTATAACATAGAATATTCATTAGTTTGTACATTTTCCGGAAGAAGTATTCCTAAGTATAAGATTTAATACGATAAGTATCTTAATAACTGTTATCATAGTTGATGTTCCTAATAGTGGAGATTGTTGATTGAAATGTTCCTACCTTTCATTATTATCAGAAGGAATATTTTCAAATTGGAAAATTAACACAGAGATTGTTCTTGTTAGGACAATATATATATACAGCTGAGCTTCTATTGTTCATTTACCTTTCACTATACTTAAAATAGTAAATTATTTGGGTTCACAAGTTCTATCATACTGGAATGGGACTACAGTGTAAGGAAATGGTGATCTTTAACCCCTCAATTTGACAGTCCCCACAGAATTCTCACGAGCTCAACGTAGCGACCAATCGATAATGAAGAAACAACAATTGCCTGTGTGATAAAGATGTCAATATTATTGGGCACTGATGGCTGTGAGGAGGATGCTGCCTCTTTATAAAAGGATTTGGATTATTTGGTGAATAAATGGCAGATGGCTTTTAATTAAAATAAATGCAAGGTAATGCATGTGGGATATCACAATTTGAAATATGCGTGTAGTTTTGATTATAACAACCTTAATAGTGTTGTAAAAGAAAAATATTTTGGAGTTCTGGTTGATCAGTCTCTTAAATTATCCAAGCAATGTACTGTTGCTAGTGGTAGGACAAATAGGATTTTAGGTTGTATTTACAAAAATACTGAATACAAGTCTAAAGAAGTTATAATGTCTCTGTATAGGTCATTGGTTAGACCATATATGGTTTGTTTGTTTTTTGAATTTCGCGCAAAGCTATACAAGGGCTATCTGCACTAGCCATCTTTAATTTAGCGGTGAAAGACTAGAGGGAAGGCAGCTAGTCATTACCATCCATCGCCAACTCTTGGGCTACTCCTTTACCAATGAATAATGGGATTGACATCACATTATAATGCCCCCAATGCTGAAAGGACGAGCATGTTTGGTGGGGCGGAGATTCAAACCCGTGACCCTCAGATTGCGAGTTGAGCACCTTAACCACCTACCATATATGGAATACTGTGTTTAGTATTGGGATCCTTATCTTAAAAAAGAAACCAAATGGCTGGAAAGGATTCAGAGGAGGGCTACTAAGATAATATCTTGGATAGAAAGGTTACCACAAGGTTAAGATCTCTGAAGTTATTTTTTCTTGGAAAAAAAGAAGACTTAGAGAGTATCTGATTGAAGTGTTTAACATTGTATAGGGAATTGGTAGTGTTGATGGATCGTCTTTTTTCGTATTTAATGGTGAGACTAAGAGATACAATATTTTGCAGAATAAGAGCCATCTTCAGCTAAGACAGCTTTCATTTTCTAACAGGGGAGTTGTCTCTGGAATTCGTTGTCTTCAAATGTGGTAGATACAATTAATTTAAAGGAATTTGAGACAATGTTCGATAAATATTTGAATGACAAGGGCTCGTTTTACTTTTCAATTAGAGTTTCGTATAGTGGATGGGACAGCCTAGACAACTGACAGGTTCCTTGCTATTCTTAAATTATATGTCTCATTCTCTCTCTCTATATATATATATATATATATATATATATAACACTATGTACTTAATGTCTTATTACTTATTCTTTACTTACGTTTATAGTAATAACATACATAACTAAAATTAAATTTAACTGAAGTAGGT